ACATTTAGTACTATATATTACTCAGTTTCTTAATTTAACAGTAAATATTAAAAACAAACATCGATTTTTGGGTGTCACCTGGTAGGTTGAATTCAGCACTGGTTCAAATTAGATGTTTGTGAAGTCAAAATACTAAGTCTATAGTTTCAAACGAATTAGAAACTCAAATTAATTGATAAGCTAAAATATAAAATAAAAGCCTCTTATCCTTTCAATTTGCTAAGATATTGCTCATGTAATAAATCAAATACAGCGGCACTCACCCACCTCTTTCCATTTTTCGAAACGCTCCCTTATATATACACTTACTTCTATATATGACATAAATAACCAATTGGAAGCTCCTAGTGGCTTTCTCAGCCATTTTAACGGACTTGGCACCATTCGTTCTTTTAGACCAATATTTCAAGGAGGTAAAGTGTGTCTGTAGTCTACTCAGATTTCATGTTTTTTTAGACTAAAATACATCTTAGTTACTAAGCTTGGTAAATTATAGTGGAATTCTATGGTTTAAAAGTTTTTCATAAGAAACGTTTGATAACTATCTGGACATAATAAAGATTTCGCATGTGAAATTTCAAAATTTTCTGATGCGTAAAAGTATTTTTAATCTTAAAATGAATATTACTTTGCATAATAGATAGGCAACATGCGAAAATAAAAGACATGAGAAAAACATTGTTTTATAAACCTTAAGACTTAATAAATAATATTATATTTTGGTATGGAAGTATTGTAATGTTTACTGATAAACTGCCAATTTTCGTTGACATTCACTTAATAATTTAAAAGTTATAGTATGAAAAATATAACAAGTACAAAGTGGTTACGAGGTCGGTCCCAGGGACTGAGCCAGTGCTGAAATAGCTAACAAGCTTGTGGAATGATTCAAAATTTTGAATCACTCAATGTTGCATTCCAGGCATCAAATCCTGATCCCAGCAAGTTATTTCAGGATCTCGATGAACTAAAAAACTTTTTGCTCATCAAGGTGTTATCAGAGAAAATCGTTGTGGTCATTAAGTGATGGTAAAGTGGGAGAAAAATTTGAACGTGACATGAAATGTAGCAAAATAAGCAGTGTTAAAAAACTAGTCATTCAGCAACACTGCCATGACTCTTTACTCCAGGCAATAAACCAGATTGATAAAACAACAATAAAAATGGAATGTATGAAATATTTTAATCCTAGTGTTTGCCTTAGCCAAATTAAGCTACGATTTAGTGATGTTCCCCTTAAACAGTTAGCTAAAAAAGGAAATCCTAATATTATGAAAGTGACTAATTAATATGAACCCATCTCTATGAAAACTAATTGGCGAGAGGAATTTCCTGGCTCACAACTTCCATCAGACCAAGTGGAGTTTGGTCTTTTGTGTTGAATCATGAAAATGCAGTTGAAGATATGT